AGAGAGAGAGAGAGAGAGCACTCGCCAGGATCCTTTAAACAATCAGGTCTTGTGGGAACTAATCCAGTGCGAACTCACTCATTACTCCCCCCTCCCCCGGGGAGAGCATTAATCCATTCATGAGGGATCCGCCCCCATGACTCAATCAGTTTCCAACACTGCCACACTGGAGATCAAATTTCCCCATGAATTTTGGAGGGGACAACACATCCAAACTCCATCTGCTCCTACTCCCAAATCTAAGTCCTCTTGACATCTCCAGACCAGAATCTGACCCCTAAATTGGGCCCGCCCTCACTATGTATTTTTTCTCACTCTCTCTCTCTAACCACTTTTTTCCTCCTCCTTTTGATCTGGGCACTTAACAGAGGTTCAGTAAATGTTTATCGGATTTAATTGACATTTTCTCAACCCCCGTCGACACTCCTATCTGCTTCTCACCTCTTTTACTCACCCCAAATATGAATGGAAAGAAATTTCAGAAATAAATCTGTTCTCTCCCCTGAGAGAAGATGCTCCTGAGGTCTCTGGACTTGGGCTCAGGGTAGTTCTGTGGCCTGGGCAGTGAACTGAAGGGCACAGACAGGCTGCCTTCGTGCAGAATAAACATAATTAGATGCTCTTTCCTGGGACACTGAACCTTGGTGCGTAGCACAAGGACAGGGGAAGTGTTAGAAATTGCTTATCACGGTGGCTGTGTCCTGATGGAACTCTTCAGGCCAGTGGTCTGTTGCTGTGATTTCTGCTTCTGGTTTCTGCCCCACTGCCCGCAAAATCTCTTGGTCCTGCCCATCCAACAACCTGGTCCCATGATTCTGTGAGCCAGCCCCCCATATCTTTCTAAAAAATCACTGTCTATTTCAATTGGGACTACAGGCACATTCAGAGCAGTTTAATGGGTACTAACCCTCTGTGGGATGGGGCTTTGCTCTGGGAACCTTGGAAACAGAGACAAAGGAATGCCAAACAGGGGAACTTAGGAGAGATTGGTATACATCCCATGACAGAGCAGAGAACTGTCAGGTAATTATTACTGAATATAGGCTCTGGAGCTAGCCTACGTGTATTCAAATACTGACTCTACAGCTTATTAGCTGTGTGATATCGGGCAAGTTCCTTAACCTCTCTGTGCCCCAGCTCCCTCATGCGTACAGTGAAGATAAAGATAATCATTGCACCTGCCTCATGGGATTACTGAGAGGATTAAATGAATTAATAGGTGTAAGGAGCTTAGAATAGTGCTGGACATATGAGGATAGTTGGTGTTCAATAAATAACTAAATATTAGCTGTTGTTGCAACATAAGACTTCAATATTTTTGGTCAACAAATTACCTGTGAATCTTTAAACAAAGGAAAATGAAAAGATAGAGTAAGGCCTGGAATATAGTTACATGTGAGTAAAATGACCAGTTAGCTTCTCCTCTGGGAAGAGTTTGAAGTTGTTAGGCTGCAGGGGCGAGTGAAGCTACAGGGATCGATGCAGTCCCAGAGAGAGCTGGGTCACCTCACTGAGGAGCCTCCTTCATCTCCCTGGCTCTACTGCACTCTGAGGGGGTGAATTTTCCCATTTCTGGGGTCATCCTTAAAGCCTGGTACTGCTGTATGTGAACCAACAAGCCTGCTATACTCAGAACTTCACAGGATCCACTGGAGGCATCTGTTGATGTTGGGAGCCCCTCCCTGACTGGGTCCTGCATGGGAAGGCTGATGTGGGGCGTTGCTGGGGAGGCCGCTGTGTGGAGCCAGGTGAGGAGCCAACACCGCAGAAGAGACGAGGGGACGCCCAGTCCTGGTTGCCATCACTTGAGTGGCAGGATCAAGTCTTAGCTGAAGCTTACATTTTGATCTTTCAGTTCTATAGACCATTACATTCTTTCTATTCTCAAGCCAGTTTCAATTGCCCTTTCTGATACTACCCACACAGAATCCTAAGAGATGCAGCTAATCCACCATGAAATTGTGTTCTCCTCAGATATTCCAGGCAGGCCATTTACCTCACTGGCAGCTCCTCCTCCCCATGCACCTTCCTGTTTAGATTCTGTGGGTCATGCAATGAGTTTCAAAATTGTAGGATGCAAATCTGAGCTGGGCAAGTCCACCTCAGAGTCTGCTTGCTTGTTACAACATATAACTTCACCACTGGTTCACCTTGGTCATGATCATGGCTTGTCCTTTTATTTAAGACAAGACTGGGCATTTAGAATACCATAGTGAAGATACAGAATATTGGACGTTGGGTTCCTTCTCTCATACCTGTAGCCATAGCCACAGGCTCACAGCTCAGCCCCACAGCTTCACCACCCATATTGTACTAAGCTTTGGTAAAAACATCCCAGGGAAGAACTCTGGAGGCATCTAGCTGGTGTCAATCATTTTGAGCTTGGGTCACATGCTCACCCTTTGCAGCCCTCACTGGAACCACAATGATGAGTTTTTCAGGGGTCAATACATAGGAAACCAGCAGACAGATAAAAATAACACCATCATTACTGATAAAGATATTAGTAAACGTGGCTTTAGTTCTTCTGGTCAAATGGACTTTTTAATAACTCACTCCTGAGTTGCCTAGTCACGGGGGGTTTTGCTGTTTAGCCAAGAGCTGGCAAGAGCATAGCCCACCACAGGTGAGCAGATGCCAGAACAGAATCCAGAGGAGGCTGAGCCACAACACGTTCCTTCCCCCACTGTGTTGATTATTGAAATCATCAATGACTTAGTTCCATTTCTTCTGGGAACACGATGGGTTCCCTCTTGGAGCGAGGTGCAAGCATGTGACTTGTGTTGGCCAGTTACATGTGATTAGAAGCGATGTGTGTCACTTTGAGGTGGGAGCTTTAAGAGCCACTCCTTGATTTCCCTTTGATGTGGCAACTAGTAATATTCCAGATGTTCCATTATCCTATGTTCCAGA